CTGGCCCTATTATCTCATATAATAAGTTTATATAAAATTATAGTTGTAGAAAGGAGAGCAAGAAAAAGAGAATGAATTCTTCAACTCTTGTCAATGGAAAGTCGTTACCAGAAAAAGGTGGGGAAAAAGAATTCTGAGTAGTGAAAGTGATTCCAAACTGTGCTCAAACAGGAAATCATCTCTGGTGCTTGACAGGGCCTGGAGGTAAAAGACAAGCCTAACATAGACTTTACTGATGTTCCTCCTGCTACAAGTCGAGGTCACTTCGTTCAGGGTCAAACAGGTAACTAGAAATGCTGGGGTTTGAATCTGTGGTTTTACTAAGTTAAGTCAGTTCAGTCTAACTTGTGCCTTTTATAACCAACCAGGTTGTGCACCAGGAGCAGAGTAAAAAGGGACCTGACAAGGACGATGCTGATTTGGAAGTGGAGGCTCCTGTAGGCCATGAGACAAGGCCTAGGGAAAGAGAGTTGAAAAAGTCCTCAACTCTTTTCATTCAAATGAAGAAAATATCAAGTGCTCTAGAGAGGGTGAGGAGTCAAAGATGGTGGAACTCTGGGATAAATGCAGCAAGCTTATAAGTCAGAGAGTGAGGAAAATTTGTACAACTTAGGAATATCTGCTAGGAGGAGAAACACATTTTGTGTTCACTTCATATTCTCCCTAACCTTTATATCTTTTACAGTTCAATTTTAGTATTAAATTCCAGGAAGCAAAAAAGAAACAAAAGTTGGGGGGAGATACTTGGAAGGCAATTCCATAAGGGATTCAGAAGGAATCATGTAGGAAAAAAATACTGCTCCAGAAGAGGCAGGATAGAAACTGAAACTTTTCTTAATTGGCCTGAAGAAATCTCTTAGGACCTAGAGGAACTTCCTAGAAGTAGAGATAAAAGACATTTAGTTCCGTTACTGCATCTGTGAGGATAATATTTGATGAGGTGATAATAGTTAAAGGAGATAAAAGGGATGATTTTATGTAAAATAAACAAAAATGAGGCTGAACAGCAAACTAACTCTCAGGATGCAAATGCTTAGTCATATTGAAAACAATTTCTGTTGGAAGAAAATTGATAAAGATCCACCTGTCTGAATCTTCAGAAGATTTTGGATTATAAACTGATGCAGTGAATTAACATCTTGAACAATGAAGGGATCATTTACAATCTCTTGATGGAGCAAAATTTTCAATGAAGAAAAATGAAAACAGGTTAAAAAAAAAGCTGTTTGGTGATTTGGGCACCATATTACAAATGTATATGATAACTTAAATGGAAAAAAAATAGAAAATGAAGCAGATCAAAAGTGATAAATATAAATGTTACTACCTTATAATTTATAGTTTATAATATTCAGATTATAGTATACAGTTAAGATGTAGCAATTCTCTATAGCTTGAAATTTTAAAAATCTCTCTGCAGTGTACACAATATATGGTATGAATGAAATACACATTTACTTAAATGTTTCTGCTTATGTTAGGTAGAGAGAAGCCCCCTCCCTCGGATAAGAAAAGCTGCTTATACATATGCAGCTGATTCAGACAGTAATTGCAAAACATGTTCTAAGATAGGCAGATGGGATTAATTTACTACTACAGTATTTCACCATGACAAGGGAGACACTTGCAAAGATTATCAAACCCATTTTCTCTTTTTATTGTTTGAAAATCAAAAGATTAAAAACCTATTAGATGAGTCCTTGGTTCAATTTGTGCTTCAACTGGCCCATAAGACATTTTTCAGAGATCAAATTACTGAAAATGGAGAAAATACTGTAAATGAATAACACTTTTTCTATTACCAAAAAAATCTCTCAAACATCTGGTATAATGTTCTGTACTCTCAAAGCAGATACATTGTGCTTTACACTCAAATTAAGTTTGAGTATATAAACTCTACTTTCTTATTTTTATGATAAAAATTAAACATATTACCAAGGGCATATTATCCTAGATGAAATTTGATTCTTTTAACAAAGAAGAAATTTAGAAAGTGTCTAGGCAATTAGATATAAGCTAATTATGACAACACTATGGAAAAGTTTATTACTTCCCATACATTCTCCTCAATCTTTCACAAGCATTTTATTTTTCTTGGCAAAGACTGAATTCACAGTCATTAACTAAAACATAAGTCCTTTCTTTTTTCTTTAATACTTGTACCACTTTTGGAATAAGTGGTGCAGTTAAGTAAAGGAATCATTTTAACACTCATTAGGTCAAACTCTAGTGCTTTCGACCAAAACCCTCTGTGAGTTTAAAGTCACTTTTCATAGTAAGGTCAAAAAAATGACATACATTACTAAATCCCTAAACTCTGAGGTTGTGCTACCTTTTCTTAATTATATATGCTTAAAATATTAGACTTCTAGGGCTTGTGTCTTATTAGCTTACTCTCAAATTTCCATATATAGCTTAAAGTAGTTCAGAAATAAGATTGATAGTATTATATAGTAAGAAAAGACAATAATATGTTACAAATAATTGTCATTAATAAACTCAGAATAACCTTACTAGTTATTCAACATTATAATCATAATTCATAACTTGCAATTGTTAATATGGTATAACTTTTATGGTAATAACCTAATATGTGTCACTAAAATTGTAAGTCCTTCTATCACAAAAATGGGACTGAAATCTTAACTTCATTAGCTTCTTCAAACTAAAGTTTCAATAAATTAATCAGCTTTCAACATCCCTTTAGCTTTTAAATCTACTGGTAGTTAAATGTTAATATATTGTTACATTTATAATATGTTAGGGCATAATATTTATATTTAATTATAATTTTAATTGAATACTTTCTATCAAATTATGGTATATTTATGAGATATATAAAAATATAATATACATATTATATATTATATACAATACACATATATAATTTGAGAAATGTTGCTACTTTATATTTTATTTTATTATACATATATGTTCAATCAGTACAAATCATGTTTTATAGGATAGCTTACACCTCTAGATTTTTCAGGCATTTCCACAGTTAGGTGCCTTCAAGTTATCAAAATTAGGAGATTTTTAATGAGTAATAGAAACAAAATATAAGTGAAAAGGAAGAGTGCCAATATGTTGAAAATTCTAATAAGCTATTCATAAGCATGTCGTATATTAAAACTGATTGGAGTTTTCTGGATATTTTAAGTCAGAAACTCCCTCTTTAGTCTTTCCTAATTACTAAGAAATAATTTTCTATTAATAACCAAGGAATTTAAAATGGAAAGAACATATAATGAAAACTAATAGGTTACAAATAAATCTAAGAAAATAGAGTCTAAAAGAGACATCCTTTTATTTACAACAGCTTTATAGCTGAAATAATAGCTTTACAGAGCTATGAAAAATTAATAATTCCTATTAAGAAGTATCAGGTACTTAGCATAAAATGGAAAACAAGTTTGTTCTGTACTCTTCTGCAATTCTACAAATAATATGAGCTTATAATTTAATCTGAGAAACAATAACTCAGTCTATATAGTCTCTAGCTACTAACTGGAGCATAGGCTATACTTCTTGATGGAATGAATTATTATACAATAAGATAAGCAAGATTTTTTCTTTCAAACTTTGTTCTTGACATCTAACATTAGGTTTAAAGATACTGATATGGTAAATGACTTGTGCTTTCTTATTCAACGATTGGGTGAGGATAGCATCTGACATAGTGTGGTTGTAACAGATTTTTCTGTGTATGTGTTTTTTTTCATTTTTAATAGACTATTTTTTAGAGCACTTTTAGGTTCACAGCAAAACTGAGCGGAAGATAGAGTTTTTCCATATACCTCCTGCCCCCACACATTCATAGCCTTGCCCCTTATCGACATCCCCTACAGAGTGGTATGTTTGTTTCAACTGGTCAACCTAAACTGACACATCATTATCACCTAAAGTCCATAATTTACATTACGTCTCACTCTTCACGTTTTATATTCTATGGGTTTGGATAAATGCATAATGACATGTACCCACCGTTATAGTATCATACAGAGTCGTTTCACTGCCTTAAAAATATTCTGTGCTCTGCCTATTCACCCTTCCCTCTCACCTAACCCCTGGCAACTATTAAATTTTTTACTGTCTCTATCATTTTGCCTTTTCCAGAATTTCATATAGTTGGAATCATTCAATATGAAGCCTTTTCAGATTGTCTTCTTTCACTTAGTAATATGCAATCAAGGTTCCTCCATATCTTTTCATGGCTTGGTAACACATTTCTTTGTAATGCTAAATAATATCCCATTATCTGGATATACCAGTTTATTTATCCATTCATTTACTGAAGGATATCTTGGCTGTTTCCAAGTTTTAACAATTATGAAATAAGCTCCTATAAACAGCCATTTGTGTAGATATAAGTTTTCACCTCCCTTGGGTAAATACCAAGGAGTTCGAATGATGGATCATATGGTAAGAGTATGCTTAGTTTTATAAGTTATAGCAGTTTTAAAATAATAGAATTCTAAGTTAGACACTAGGATAACATTTGTGTATTAGGATTAAAAAAAAATACAAGGAAAGCAATACTGTCAAAATTGTTTTCCTTGAGTGTAACTAGGCAAGAAAATTTTAAAAAGTAAAAAAAGTTCTTTACCATTTAGATGCACAAATATAACCAACTGAATATTTATTCCAGAAATATGAAACGAGATCACCATTAAAACGAACAAGTAGGGCATCCCTGGTGGCGCAGTGGTTGAGAGTCCGCCTGCCGATGCAGGGGACACGGGTTCGTGCCCCCGTCTGGGAGGATCCCACATGCCGCAGAGCGGCTGGGCCCGTGAGCCATGGCCGCTGAGCCTGCGCTCCACAGCGGGAGAGGCCACAGCAGTGAGAGGCCCGCGTACCACAAAAAAAAAAAAAAAGAGCATGTAGAAAGTTCCATTTCCAATTATATGGTGACTTAGTTCCTCAGATAGACTCAATGAAAACAACCAGAATACCAGATAAATTAAAACAAACATTTTAAAATATGGATATATACTTACAGGAAAGTAAGAAATACTCAACCCAAAATCCATCTGAAGGAAGGCAGGAATCTTGAGAGTTAATTACCACAGGCGACTTTTGAAGAAGTGGAAAAACTGAACTTTGCTTTCCATAGCCTCGAGGGCATCAGGGACTGGAAACTAATCTCTGGGCATCTTCATCGAGTGGAGGTGTCTGAAAGGAGACATACCCAACAAACCTCCTTCCCTCAACTTCAAGACAAATGGATCATCTTGAATCTCAGCACTGAAAAAAGAAAAAAAAAATAGGTCTGCCTCTAAAATATTATAACCACAACAAGCCTAACCTTATATCAATTTGGAGTTAGAATTCATACTACTTATATGATTTGAACAAATTCATGTCAAAATTTTAACTTTATGTGACCTCAAATTGGTAATGCACTCAACTTCTAGAAACTAAGAGAAATCCTCTGAGAAAGCATCTACTTTTAACCCAGTTCTCAAAGAATTTCTAACAAATAGAATTCCACAGAATTGAAAAACTTAACAAGTCACAACAGAGAAGCAATAGTAACAATAATAAACAGGGAAAGACTGTATGTATTGGAATTACCAGACACAGAATATGAAATAAAAATGTTTGTGATAATTATAAAATAAATATAACTGTGAGATAATATTTTCAAGGAGTATGAAATTATAAAGAATAAAATGGGGTTCTGCTTCTGTATGAAATGCAATAAGCACATTTCACCTTTTCCCATTGAATGCAACTATGAAACACAGACAGAATGCATGGATCAACTGTGGCAAGTCTCTGAAATTTTTCTGCAGTAGGCAGGTTGGAGAAGAACACCAGAATTTCTAAATAACACTGAATAGGCAGTGAGTTTACCATTTCTTTTCCTCCAGTACTCCTGCCTGAATGCAATGCAGCTGTAAACTCACAAGTGGACCCTGTGGCACAGAGCAAGAGAGAGCTTTTGGATAAGCTCTCTAGTTCTGTCTTGAAGACCAGAAACAGAAATTCCTAATGCTGAGAGGAAGCAGAGAAATTCATAATTTTTGTTCTCTTTGCTTGGTTCTATTTTCTTGCCCCAGTCTGCAGGGAATTCTTTTGCAGGGAAAGAGAGAGATCTATGGAAAACTACAAAAGCCAAAACTCTGAGGGAAGGGCACCTTCCTCTCCTTTGGTTGTAGCTATAACTTCAAAAGGATAGGACAAGCCATATTACATTTTATTTCTCTCTGTCCTCATTCCAGTAAGCCCAGAGCATGACATCACAGAGGATGATGAGTGGTTTCACTAGAGATCCCCACCAAAAAATGAAGCCCCTGGGAATCAAAGTACTGGGGAGATCATGGAGAGGGAGGAGCTTATAAAAGTGATACAATAACATCATTTAGGAACTTCAGGGTTTCCCCTTAATCTGTATATGCATAGATCTGATCCTAAGAAGCATCCCAAAGATTTTGAGAACTAAACTAACAAGATAGAGTAGGGCTGAGACTGACCACTGTGGGGCACATATCCAAGAGAGAATAAAGAGCAAAACAAAGGTTTTAAAAACTGAATTAACACTAAAACCATAGCTCACAAGGGGTAGAATATCAATATTCTACATAGAATTTAAACAATACTTAAAGTCTCTTAAAGTAATTCACAGTATGTCTAAAATAACTTGGCATAGAAAGAACCACAAATATTTCAACACACGAGAAAAGGCAATCAACAGACACTGATGTTATGATAACATAAATGTTGGAAATATCTGACAAAGACTTTGAAACAGCTATTATACAAATGCTTCAAGAAGCAATCCCGAACAGTCTTGCAATAAGTGTTAAAATAAAAAGTTTCAGCAAAGAAATAGAAGATATAAAGAAGAATCAAATTAAAATTTTAGCATGGGTAAATACAATAGCCACCCTCCCCCCAATCTCATTGAATGGGCTCAGTAGCTGAATGAAAATAACAGAGAGAACAGTCATTCAGTAAGTTTGGAGACTGAGCAATATAAATAATCTAATCTGAACAATGGAGAGAAAAACACTGGGAAAAATAAATAGAATCTCAGGGATCAGTGGGAAAATACCAGAAGGCCTAGCAATATGCCAATAGAGTCTCAGAAAAATAGGAGAAATAGGGTATTGATGAAAAAAAATTAAGTAATGGCTGAAAACTTCCCAAGTTTGGGGAAAAAAACAACCCCATAAACCTAGAGGTTCAAGAAGCTAAGCAAATCCCAAATAGAGTAAACTCAAAGAAATCTATGTCCAGGTACACACAGCATAATCAAACTGCTAAAAACCCAAGATAAAGAAAAAATATTGAAAGCATTCCAAGAAAAATGACATAACTATAAGGGGAATAATGATTCATATAACTGAGGATTTCTTATCAGAAACCACAGAAGGCAAGAAATGGCATGAAGTTCTTAAACTGTTGAAAGAAAAAACTGTCAACCCTGAATTTTATATCTAAATAAAATATCCTTTCAGTAGTGAAGGTAAATTAAAGATATTCTCAGATGAAGGAAAACTAAGAGAATCTGTATCTATCTGCTGTGAAAGAATTTCTAAAGGAAGCTAAGGAAGCTTTTCAGAAAGAAGGGAAATGATTCCAGAAAAAAACTTGGGACTTCAGGAATGAAGGAAGAGCAACAGAAAGAGTAAATATAAGGGGAAATGTGACAGTCTTGAAATCTTTAACCCAAAGGAGACTGGAAATGGGAACCAGAATAATGTAAAACAAAGGGAAAAACAGAAAACAAAAAATGATAGTTTTAAATCTAAACATATCAATAATTATATTAAATGTAAGCAATCTGAAGATACCAATTAAAAAGCAAAAATGGTCAGAAGAGATTTTAAAAATGAACTATATACTGTCTAAAAATAGCCACTTAAAATATAATGTGATAGGCAAGTTGAAATAATGATGAGAAATGATATACTATGCAAAAACTAATCAAAAGAAAGGTGGACTGACTATGGTAATATCACAAAGCATACTTCAGAGCAAAAAACATTGCCAGGAATAAAGATGGATATTACATAATGAAAAAAAGTTTCAATTTACCAAAAGCCATAATAATTCCCAATGTATATGAACCTAACAACAGATATTCAAAATACACAAAGCAAGAAGCTACAGTGCTAAAAGGAAAAATAGACACATTCAAAATTATAGCTGGAGACTTGAACAGTCCTTTCTCAGTAATAAATAAAAGTAGTTGAAAGAAAGTCAGCACGAATATAGAACAAACTAATACCATCAACTAATTTGATTTACTTGACATTTATAGAACTCCACCCAAGATCAGCAAAATACACATTCTTTCTGGGAGCACAGGGAATATTCACCAAGATGGATGATATTCTGGATTATAATTCACACTGACCAATATATAATAATGGAAATCATACAAAGTATGTTCTTTGACCATAATGGAATTATACTAAAAACAAACGACAGAAAGAAAACAAGAAAGTCCCCGAACACTTGAAAATTAAAGTTCATGATTCAAAATAATCTATGCTTCAATAGACTGTCTTAAGGGAAATTAGAAAGTATTTTAACTGAATGAAAATGAAATGCAACATAACAAACTCTATGGAATTCTGTTAATGCAGTGCACAAAGGGGAATTTATAACAGTAAATGTTTATAAGATAAAAAAGACAAAATTTAAAACTTCTACTCTGAAAGATAATGGCAAGAAAATGAGAAGATAAACCATAGACTGGGAGAAAACATCTGCAAAAGACACATCTGATAAAGGATTGTATAAAATAATACAAAAAACTCTTAAAACTAAACAAGAAGAAAATAACCTGATTAAAAAATGGGCCAAAGACCTTAAGACATCTCACCAAAGAAGATATACAGATGCACATGGCCACTATCTGGAACAGCTACAGCAACAAATGCTGGCGAGGAGGTGAAAATAGGAATTCTCATACATTGCTGGTGGGAATGTGAAGTGGTATAGCTACTCTGGAAGACAGTTTGACAGTTTCTTAGAAAACTAAACATGCTCTTACCATGTGATCCAGCAAATGCATTCTTTGGTATTTACCCAAAGAAGTAGGAAACTTATGTCCACACAAAAACCTGCACATGGATGTCTGTAGCAGCTTTATTCATAATTGCTAAAACTTGGAAATAACCAAGATGTCCTTCTGTAGGTGAATGGATAAATAAACTGAAGTACATCCAGACAATGGAATGCTATTCAGTGCTAAACAGAGATGCACTATCAAGACATGAGAAGGTACAGGGAAACCTTAAATGCATATTACTAAGTGAAAGAAGTCAATCTGAAAAGATCATGTTCTGTATAGTGACATTCTGTAAAAGGTAAAACTATGGAGACAATAAAAAATCAGTGGTTAGCCGGGTTTGGGTGGGGAGAGATATGAATAGAGCACAGAGGATTTTTAGGGCAGTGAAACTACTCTGAATGATACCATAATGATGGATACATGTCATTATACATTTTTTCAAACTCACAGAACGTACAATACTAAGAATGAACCATAATGTAAACGATGGACTTTACGATGTGTCAATGTAGATTCATCAGTTGTAACACATGTACCATTCTGGTGAGCAGTGTTGATAACAGGGAAGGTTATGGATGCATGGGGACAAGGTGACATATGAGAAATCTCTGGCCCTCCACTCAATTTTGCTGTGAAGTTAAAAGTGCTCTAAAATTCTTACTAAAACAAGCAAGCAAGCAAAAAAACTAAACAAAAACCATTTACAATGACATCAAAACAGGAAGTAACTAGGAATGAACCTAACAAAAGATGTGTAAGACCTTTGTGTGCAATATTATTAAATCTTAGTGAAACAACTTAAAGGAGATCTAAATAGATATATACCATGTTCAAGGACTAGAAGATAACATATGGCAAAAATGTTAATGCTCCTCAAATTAATGAATAAATTCAAGCAATTCCAATCATACTGCCAAATGTTTCTCTATTGTACTTGACCTGCACGTTAGAAAATTTTATTTGGTAGTCTAAGAGCCAAGAATAGCTAAGAAAATCTTGAAGAAAAAGATAGAATTGAGAAGACTTTCCTAGCAGATACTAAAACGAATTACATCCTGACAGTGTGGTATGTGCATGGGATAAACCAATAGACCAAGGCAACCAAATAAAAAGTCCAGAAACAGACCCTGGCATATATGAACTCTTGATATATTACAAGGATAACATATAGTTGTGTGCAGAAAGAAGTGACATTCTAATAAATGGTGCTGGA